GTGGATCACTGAGTTTGGGATGGTCACGTTCTCCAAGGAACTGCAACCCCGAAAAGCAGCCTCTCCAATGTGCGTCACTGAGTTTGGGATGTTCAAGTTCACCAAAGAGGTGCATGTGTAGAATGCAGAACATCCTATGTGGGTCACTGAGTCTGGAATGGTCAATTTGGCCATTTTCTCGCAGTATTGGAAGGCCTTCTCAGAAATTTGAACTTCATCTTCTGGGATTTCAACAACAAAACAAATGTCCGAGTATTTTTCCCTTCTGGGGAGCGCTTTTTTTTTGGAGCATCTGACGATGTTGGGTTTAAAGACAACACTCACAATAGAATCTGCAGTGAGCCCTAGGCGCCTCACCGTTTCGTGATTGCCCATCAACCGCTCTCCAAAAACAATCTCCACCACAGTAGTCTTGCGAGTGACCTTGTCCCAGGTCAGCTGCAGTTTTTTTGATCTGCTGTTTTAGCTCTCTACCTGTCAGCTCTGGCCTCACGTCGAGATCAAGTTGATCACCATTCACCTGTAGTGCTGAAATCCTGAAGGCCATGGCTACAAAGGCTTCCACCAGCACTTCAGCTGAGTTCCATGTCGATGTCTGCCAAATTGCATGCTTTTTCGTTGATTGCTAGTGTTCAATGGTGCAGCATGAGGTGCTCTGTTCGTTCTTTACTGTCCCATGCCCGCATCATCACCCGCTGTTCCCATCACTCGCAACGGATGCGGAGCTTTGGGGGGTCCCGGTCTCAGAGGTGAGTGGTTCCATACACAGGAGCCTGGAAGTCTCAGAGGTGATTCGGGACACCCTCCATTTTGCACCGTCTTTGGTGGTGGGTCCTGGTTTAGTTGTTCTTTTTCGTGTTTTACTGTAGTTCTGCGTATCACATGTTCTGGACGTGCTGGACATGAGTCTTCTTTCGACTAGAAGATGCTCGACCCCTTTATCAAACCTGGAAGAGATCCGCTCCTGATCACATGATGTTCGCTATAAATCTTTCTTTATCGGAATGAAGGAAAGAAATGGAAAGAAACCCTGCTTCCTTCGGGAACTGCTGGGCCATGGCCATTGGTTCATCCCTTGCGTGGTCCCTTCTGTGGTCCCAAAGTATATAGCTGAAAAAAACCTCCGAGTCCGATCTCTTTCCATCGCCAGCTTCACTAAATTTGGGGATGACACCTACCGTTGCCCTTCAAGGGCCACGCCCGCCCTCCTTGCAGCCGCTCCCGGGTCGCACGCTCGCGACGCAGCGCGTCCGACGCATCGCTTCGGACG